TTCCTCTTGCTCCCTAAACTCAAGACCATTGAAAAAGAACATGGGTTTTTGTGTCCTCTACATTCTCTATCCTCGGTGCCTAGAGCGCTGAGAACAAAGATGACTGTTTTTATATTTTGAATGTACAGACTTACCCTACTTTCTAGTAAGAAATAGCTACTGTGCCTTCTTTGAAATAGTGTTATTTTAGTGGATAACTTAGTTTGTAATGGATTTTTAACAATTTAATGAAAATGTGCAGATAGAATGCTTTCCTTCCATTCGGTCTACTCCACAGTTTATATCCCTTAAAGGGCCAAGGTAGGATTTAGCTATCGTTATAAAGGGCCATGCCTTCATGATATCAGTCACCAAAACCAAAACATAACTTGTAGATGAGAATAGTTACTATATATTTATTTAGCACTTACTCTGTTTCAAGCTCTATTTTAAGCACACATCATATATTATCTCATTTATTCTCTATATCATGAGATCTGTGAATACATGTAATAGGGTCTATACCTAAATGTGAGATATTATGTATGAGGAGATATACAGAATAGCATAGATCTTTTTTCGTCTTTCGCTGTGGAGATGAATTGCATAGCAAGTTTTGAATGTTGTTTTGTGTCTGTTAGGTCGATTCCAACCCATGGTGTTCCCAGGTGAGCAGAGTAGAACCGCCCTCAGGGTTTTCAGTGCTGTCACTTTTCAAAACAGGTGGCTTGACCTTGTTTCAGAGGCACCTCCGGGTGGGTTGGAAGGCCAATTTGGGGCCAGCAGTGGAGTGCTTTATTGGTATATATAACCTGTATCATGTAGCAACCTGGGGCAAAGATGTCACTGCCCATCTGGAGTCTGCCGTCCTGTGGAGTCAGTCAGCTGTGGTGCAGGGGAGTGGGGGAAGACTCGCATGTTTTAATTTTAAGGAATAAAAATGATCCATTTGGGTGCACTTATTATAGACATCCATCTTTCCCTAACCCACTAAAGAGACCTTTAATTTGACCCTTCCTTCCCACACACTCAGAAAAGTTGATCTTATAAAGTCGCTTCTGAGATTTTCATGATGAAATGCTGGAGAATGAGGAGAACGAGATCGGACATGAAAAGCTGGAGGAGATTTCAGTCACGCTACATAATAAGATAATACTGGTGGCATAGTGGTTATGCATTGGGCTGCTAACTGCAAGGTACGAAGTTTGAAACTGCCAGCCCCTCTTTGGGAGCAAAACGAGGCTTCCTACTCCCGCAAACAGTTACAGTCTCAGAAACGTGCCGGAGCAGTTGTGTCTCACCCTCTAGGGTCGCCATGCGCCGGCATCATCTCAATGACAGTGCGTTTGCCTTTTTGTGAGGCGTAATACAGAGATGAGAAAGAAATGAAGGGGGGAAGTTGGGCACTGAGTAAGGTAGACTGAAGAAGAATCGGACATGAATTCTAGTGCTGGTGAAGAATAATGAAAAAAACAAACCACCCAAATCTGTCTTGGAAGAAGTACTGCCAGAATGCTGCATAGAAGCAAGGATGGCAACACTTGGTCTCGTGGTATCAGGAGAGAAGGACATAAGTCAAGGAGCAGCAAAAAAGAGGGAGACCCTGGACGAGGTGGATTGCCACAGTGGTTGCCACAGTGGGCTCAGGCAGGACCAGGTTTGTGAGGATGGCGGGGATGGAGCTGTGTTTAGTTGTGTTCAGTTTGCACATTTGGTCACTCCAAGCCGGGGCCAACGCAAGGGCCCCTGAGGACAGCAAGCACAAAGTTGAAGTGCTTGGCTGGAGGTCTCAGGAAAAGAGGCTGGAGTAGCAGTCATCTGGCAGGAAAAGGATGAGGAGAAACTGGTCTCCACGTGGAGCCACTGGCTAGTGCAGCCGGCTAACTGGCTGCTCTCCAAAAGGTTACAGGTTGTGTCCACCCAGAGGTGCTTTGAAAGGAAGGCCTGGCAATCTACTGCCAGCAACATCAGCCATTGAAAATCCTGTGGCGCACGGTTCTTCTCGGACACAGATGGGTCACCGAGAGTTGCGGTCAACCCACAGCAGTGGATTGGTTCGGGTCTCCGGGTAGCTAAGGGAGGAGGGCATTTTAACTGAGGATGGGCAAAATATGAAACACCGCAGAGGCAGAAGCAGGGCTGCGGTACTGGAGCCGTCTCATGCCAGCCCTTGAATGTCAGTTAGTAACTTCTCCGCCGTTTATGAGTCCATTGTCAACTCCAGCCATTATTAAACCTTTAATTAGAAAGACTTACAATTAAATACATTATATTAAATGCAAAGGTTAATAAGATAGCCAAGCCAAAGCACCCCCTAATTGTTTTACACGGTGGAGGTTACTGTTTGTCTTTTGTGTCTGTGTGATGGAAATAATGATGTGGGTCACGGTGCCATGTCTCCCGACGGTCTTCGGAAGCTTCACATTGGTAGCTTGAAATCAGTCATGGGAATGTTGACACCACAGAAGTCAGTAAATGCTACACATCAGGTCTCCCCTTCCCCCTACGCAGGGGGGCCAGTAGTTAAACATTTGCCAGCAGATCAGAGGGTATACTTGTAGAGTATAAAGACTAATGGATTTAGCAAGAAGGAGAAACCTGGTGACGTCCCCTTGAATTTCAGTGGAAGGTGGAGGCAACAGTGAACTGGATTGAAAAGTAAATATGGGAAGTCAAGAAACAAGAATTCAAATAGTTTGAAACTATTGAGTTGGAGTTTTGCAAGTTATTATTGTTGATGGTGGTTTTTGTGTCAAGGATAAGGTTCACAGGGTAAATGTAATGCTAATGTAGTTTATTTTTTCCAAAAAGGAATACTATATTCAAAATGCTTGTGTTAGAGCCTTTTCTGCTGGAGAATCTTAAGGACCTAGTATTTAACAATTAAAATGAAGTGGGTTGTAAGTTCCAGATACCTGTTATTATTGTTGTTAAAGAAAGGTTGTTTTGTGTCTTAGGTTATTTTAAAGAAATATTGTCAGAGTGAATTCTATGGAGTTTATTTTTAGTTTTTACTGCTGCATTGGGGGTGGGGAGGGGCAATCATACGGTTCCTAAAATTTGACTTAGTGCTATGATTCCTTATTTTAAGATTTCTCAATACTAAATCTTTGTCTTTCTGAGATCAATTTGATTGTGATGGCTTATTCTTTTGATATGCTATTGACTTTTCTAATGAGCATTTTATCGATCATGGAGCTGAGATTTTACTCTTTGTTGGTTGTCGGGTTTTTGCCTTTACTCACTTCCTGCCTGCTTCGTTATGAATTCACATGCATCTCAGAGGGAAATCAGTGCATGTATCCAGGAAGTCCAGTAGGAACTAAACTTAATTTGGAATCAAGATTTTGTTAGAATTTTTCTGTATTAATGTACCTCTTTTATTTTTACACATTTAAGTCCTGTTTTGTAGCTACCATAAATATGAAAGGTCTAAATGGAAGTTCATTTTGAAATAAAGTTATTTCTCATATTTTAGTATCACTACTTATGTTTGACTAGCAAATTAGAGAATTTATATCAATTGCTATGGTAGAAGTCAGCAGCCACAAACAGGAAACTCAAAAACACTGACAAATTAGATATTTCTATAGAAGAACATGCCCCACACGAAAAAGAAAACCTAGTACTATGATTGATACTGCATCTACAGTAACAGATTTTCAATTTCCAAGCAGAGGTTTTCAGCAGTGCTAGAGAAATTCACAAGCAAAATGCCATTTGCTATAATATATTTTCTTGAATGCTACAATATTTTTGTAAAGGAGGGAGGACATTTTATCCTCCATGGTCTACTTATAACATGCATTAAATAATTGTTTGACTTCAACCTTAAATTGAAATGTATTTGAGGGAAAAGAAAATTAGATTGTTTTTGTATGTTAAACTGTGCAAAACATTTTTTGGCTTGGAAATTGGGATTAGTTAACACCAGTGATAAGGCTGTTGGCAGGAAATGATGTTGTGTCTTTATGAAATGTAATTATTCTAGGATGCCTGGCCCCTTCCTAAGAGCCAACGATGTCATTGTCAGACCTGGACACATTTACTTAGGCAGTCGGCTGCTCTGCTGGTCTTCCTTTAAAAACTCTGTTAGATCTTTTGCATCTAACCAAAAGTCTGACTTTGATCCACTGCTTTGGAGTTTCCAAGGCCGTCATCTCTATGGGAGCAGGCTTCCACACTTCTCTCCCGCAAAGAGGCAGGTGTGCTCAAATTGCTGACTCTTCTGTTAGCATTTGAGTACGTTAGTTACTGTTGCCAAGGCTTCTGTATAACTAAATCCTGCACCATCTTCGTGATAGTATGTTTGAGCCCCTTGTTGTGGCTATTGTATGGCTCTATCTCATCGAGGATTTCCATAGTTCTTGTTGTCCCTCTTCGTTTCCACATAAGATGTCCTTTACAAGCAGTTGTTTTCGTTTTTAACTTTTTATTGTTAATGGGATGAAGATTTACAGAGCAGAGAATCAATTGTAATTCAGCAATTCATCCACATTTACTTAATCTCAGATTCTATATCCACATCTTCACTTCTAAGGGACCTTTTAGTTGTATTTCTTTTAAGCCTGATTTGTTTGTTCTGCCGGAAGGAGGTTATTTTAATAAATAACATCTTTGTATTGTATAACTTTTATCAAGCACCTATCTTTTGGGGTGATTAATCCCTTTCGGATCTGATCGTAGGTGTCGTTATGAACTTGACACAAAAGATGAGTGAGCTAGAGAGCTTTGACTCATGATCAGCCACAGATCAGGGGAAATAGGTGGGAAGAATCCAGCGCATGTCTGTTTTATCACTTAATACCGAGCTTCTCCAGCCCTGCAGGGGTTGCAGTGAGCCATTTGATAGCGGGTTACTTCTGTGAACTATGAAGGTAGGCTCAGGGGAAACAAGCAGAATGAAATCTAACAGGAAAGAAAATGCATTTCTGGATGTACTTTTGGGCAGCACAGGTTGTCTAGGAGTATTGAGTATGTGTATTTGTGTGTCTTAAAATCTTGTTTCTTTTTTGTTCCAGTTGAAAGAAGCCAACTGTAAGCCGCAGACGCACAACAACAAGGCCATTTCCTCAATCAAGAATCACCCTTAAACGGTAGGAAAAGTCACTGTTTATCTTACAGAGTTTACGTTGAAATGGTATCTTTTTAAGAGAACATGCAAATGCTGCATGGTTTCTTATTGTGAAATTTCTTGGAGAACTTTTATTTTGACTAGGAGAATGCTTTAGCAGGCAGCTGAAGGAGTCTACAGTAACATATTTGTCTAAGACAAAACAAAGATAGTAAAATGACCTAGAATTTGAGAAATAACTCAAATCCTAGAGCTTACGTCTCTAGTACACCCTTTACATTCCTTTTCTTTTTCTACCCAGGCCATAATTATAGGTATATTATATGGTTATGCTATTTGTAATCAAACAATTTCTGGTCACAGAGGAGAAAGTAGCTTTATGTACAAAGGGACTTCAGAAAAAGCCATGGAAAATAAATTTTTAAAAACCATAATGGAATTTTCCCAGGAACTTTTTGGAGCCCCCCTTGTATGCCAGTCATGTGCCTTTCTAGGACAAGCTGAATTGTAGGTAGTGCCGTCCATTGAAACTGTGTCCTGCCTGGTCCTGACTTAGTGGTAGAGGACTAGATTGTGGTGTGACTAAGGTTTTATTTAGTCTGAAGACTGCTCTAATTTCATCAAATTTCTAATGTCACCGGATGGATGGTCCATTTCCCCAATCTGCAGATAAATGAAATCCTACATGTTGAAAAGAACTGCCAGAGAAATAGATACAGAAATTAATATAGATGTGTACATATGTCTGGGCTAGTATGGACGCATATGTAAATGTCTGCTGAGAGAGCCTGGAAGTAGTTAACACTAACAGCAAACAAAATCTTAGTTTCTCACTACTATTTTCTGTTAAAAAGTATCAGGGGTCTTTAGAATACTGAGTCATAGAAAATATAAGATTTGCTTGGAGTGTCTGTTGGTACCATAACATAGGAAAGTGCTTTGATATAGGCATATCAAAGGGGACCCAAGTGGTCCAGATGGACATCCTCTTGAGGAAGAGGAAGAGAGGAGACATACAAGATCATGTATCCCCTGACATGATGCTGTGCAAAGGGTACGCCCCTCTGAACCTCCCTTCTTTAAAATACATAGCCTCAGTTTAACTATCAGGCAAACCTCAATTATGGAGAGACATCCCACAAAAGTGTCAATGTCAAAAAGGGCAAATAAATAAGACAGAGCAACAGTCACAGATTTGGAGGAAACTAAGGAAACAGGACAACTGGGACCCTTGGGTCGACTCTGGACCTGGAAAGGCACTGGTGAAATTCACATAAGGTATTCTGGTTAATAGTCTTAGACCAATGTCCGAGTTTTGATCATTGTTCTCTGGCTGTAAGATGTGTAGAGTCAAGGACGCTGGTGGGAAGGGTGTATGGGCATTCTCTCCACTTTTTCTGTCAGCCTACCATTACTACAAAATGAAAACCTAAAAGGGTCACGGTGGCATTAATAAATAATCAGTTTCATTCAATTTTCATGAATTTACAGAGTATCTTTCTATTCATATGCAAGACTGGAGAGAGACAGGTATAGTGTTTCCATCTAAGCTGTAACACGCGTGGTGTATTTCTCGCCCCTCTGCATCCTTAGCTCCACACATTTGCTCTCTGCTAAATGTGTCAGCCAGCTATTTCCAACTTACTGGAAGACCCAGAGAAACTCCACAAGGTGTTCTGCCTCCTTGGGGACTACCTCTTAGCAAAGGTTTTAATGGATGACAATCATCATCTTATTTGACCAGACCAGAATTGTGAAGTGCTTAACCTTGGACTCGTGTGTGGAGAGTAGAGGTGCGCCAGAGGGTCTTTATCGGCTGTGATCTTGGGGAGGCAATTGGCCAGAGATGTCTTCAGAAGCACCTTTCTGTGTGGATTAAAAGAAAAGGCAACTCTTCAGTTAGTGACTGGATGCTTGACTGTAGGGGACCCCTGTCACTTAGTTCTCATTAATCATCTTTTGTTTTGCCAGTCTTCATTGCCCAAGACAATATCTGAAAGAGAACTTTAAATTAGCACTGGCACAGCTCGGGGATATTGTGATAAAGACTTTACACTTGTAAAAAATTGCATTTTCTGTGAAGCAGTATCAAATGAGGTGCATCAGAAGGAGACATGCCCGTCGTATAGTTGAATGATGAGGCAAGAGAAGGCCAGATTGGTCTTAAGTGAGATGTCTGGGAATTCAGGGGATGGAGCGATTTTGCATTGGGCTGCTTGCTAACCAAAAGGTCAGCAGTTTGAACCAACCACCAGCTCTGCAGGGGAAAGAGGGGGCTCTCTACTCCAAAAACCACAGGGGGCACTCTACCCTGTTCTAGAGGGTCCCTGTGAGTGGCCATTGACTGGATAGCAGTGAGTTTGGTTTTTGGGGGGGGGAAGGGTACTGGAGGCTTAAAGGAAACCAATGATAGCATTATTTTTGTTTAGAAAATCAGTCTAACTCATTAAAAACCCTTAAAGCTATGAAAAATGGAAAGACCAGACTAGTTAAAGGCAAAGGATGGGGCAGCTGTGTACTTCGATATCTGAAAATGAGTGTTGGATCTGAATTCAAGGGTTTTGGCATGAAAAATGAAATGCTAAGTATTTGGAATTTGACCCTGATGTTTTCGTGGTTGGCAGCATGTTCTCTTGCATGTTCTTCAGTTTAGGGGGCAGCACTCATTCACACACTTCAGGTAAAACACGAAACGACAGGCATCGTCAATAGTGACGTCTGCATCTTTGTGTGAGGTCATTTATCATAATGAATCTTTTTTTTTTAATCCAGAGGTGATTCTTTGGACTTTATTCACCAAGTATAAATAAAGTCTGTCTCATAGTTGGTGCAAGTAAAAAAAAAACAAAACACAAACAAACCTGGCACACAGGAAACAGTGGAGCTGGGCTGGTTGGGAGAACTACTTGGGGTTAATTTAAAACTAAGACAAATGAATCTATTTAAAAAGATAAAAAAAGAAAGAAAGAAAGCTCCACAAGAAATATCTTTACAGATGGTAGAGGAGAAAACGTTTTAGATAAAAGATATCTGAACTTTTTGGTCGCAGTGATTTTATGACTGAGGAATTCACCTGGTGCCCTGAATCAGAACTCTGTAAATTACTAATGGAACACAGTGATCTTTATCATTTTCTGTATGTGTGCACATGCGAAGTTCAGTCCTGCCCTCTGCAAATAGGCTCTCAGCGCTTAGCTAGATTGCTATGTATGCGTTCAGGCTTTGGGATTGGAACATGGAGATCATGTTTACTTATAAAATCTTAAAGGCAGGTGAGTGGTCCTTCTAGATATAAGATAGGAACTCGGATAAGGTACTTTTGCTTTTTAGATTTTGATCACTGAATTAATTTCATTTAGTTTTACTTCAATTTTAAAACAGTTTATTACTGAAAAGTAATAAAATGTGAAACTTTTGCAGTAAGAAATTACTCAATCCTCAAAACAAAACCTACTATTCTTACTTCTGTGTATTTTTTACTAGTTCTTGTTAACATGTATACATTTTAACCTACTTTTATGATATGAAATAGAGATTATAGCTCTGAGCTATAACACAGAGTTTTAAACATTATATCAGCAATGTAGTAAGGAGCATAAAGATCACTTTAAAGTAAAACATTACCTATCATCTTATCCTAGTCAAACAATTTTGATTTCTGCATGTGAGCTTCCAGTGCTTAAAACAGATCCATATTTATCTTACTTAAATATATTCCTAAGTAATATTTGAGAAAGTAAATACATTGCTATCAGCTCCTCAATGTGCTTGTGTATAAAACTAAGAGATTATCATAAATGATTTCTGAGTTCTCTTCCCACCCAAAAAAAAGTTTTAAAACCTGACTGTACCTAACTCCATAATATTTTCTAGAAAAATATATAACCAGTTACAGTGGGTACTATATTTACTTAAGAAGTAGGGTCACAAACTTTAAGATGTAAAAGGATGCTTCCTAAATGTGATAAAGAAAATATGAGCTAACAATTTGCTAAACCGCAAAATGCAGGGCTAGGGGTGGTGGTGGTAGGGGGGCGGGATTTGATATGAGATTCTTGAGCGGTAGTGAAAAGCAGTGTTCTCAAATAGTAACTTTGATAAGACCTACTATAAAGAGAGATGATATGGAAATTCACTTTGGGCATATTCATAATTTTAATTTTTCCTGGACCTCTTTTGCTTTCACTCTCAAAAGAAGAAATAAGAAAAATAGCTCTTTATAATTTTTGTATTTCAGTGTGTTCATTAACTAATACAATTCTTAATGAGGGACATTTTGTACAGACTGAAAAACAGACACGATAATAGATTTTAGGAAAGCGTCCTAGACAGATATCTTCTTTGTTTCTGCCCTAGGAAAAATTCCACTTATTGGAATATTACTTCTACCTCACACTTATTAGCTTCCCTGACTCATTATCTTATATAAAAGCAAACAATGGTAGTTTTTTTTTTAGAACTACCATAATATATCCCCCCCACCAATTTTGTTTGCCCCACCCGTGAAAACAATGAGCTCCGTGCTCCTGTTGATAGCATGCTTTGATTCATTGAGTGTTTCAGATTGTAGCAGCTCAGTGGTGAGAAGTTACTATTATTCCATGGAGCATACAAGGAAGCGCTTTCAAATTATTCCAGTTATTTTTTCTTTTTGGTCTCTCTTTTCAAGCTCATGAACTCCTTGTGCTTCAATCCAGATCTTGTGATCTGAAATCACTTAAATAACTAAAACCTTACTATTTTCCACCTTTTACATTCCCAGTAGACAGGAGATAGGAAACTTAGTGACGTAAACATCTTTAATAATCTTTAAAAGTCATAAGACCCGGTAGCTGGGACAAGAAACAATTAGGTATATATTTCAGGGAAATACCATAGTGGCATGACTTTTGTTTTCGTTTGTTAACAAGCCACATGACTTTCCTCTTGGAGCCCCAGGAATCCGTAGTGGTCTCCCTTTCCTATTCCGTGTCCTCTACCTCACAGAAGTGTATGTTCCCCTCCGCTCACTTGCTAACATTT